TAACATTAATTATTTATTATATTTTAATTTATTATATATTTATGATATATTATTTATATTTAATTTATTTATTAATATTTTATATATTCTAATTTATTATATATTTATTTATTTATTTTATTTATATATTTATATATTTATTATATTTTATTATATTTTAATTTATTATATATTTGTGATATATTATATTTGTATTGAATTTATTTAATATTATTTTATTATATTTTAATTTATTATATTTTTATTTATTATTTATATTTAATTCATTTATAATATTCTTTTTTGTTACGTTTTGTTTCTTTAGTTTTAGTTTTGTTACTATTTGAACAAATCACACACACACCCCTTCCCTTCCCTTCCCTTCTCTCCCCCCTCAAAACAAATCTAATAACCCTTGATATTTCTAATAATAAAAAATAAAAACAAACATATGTTTTTTGTATTTTTTTTAACATTTACTAACAACGTTCTATCATTTTGTTGCTTATACAACGAATTGTGCATTCACGTGTACGTGTAAAAGTGACTTCGTCTACGACTACAATGAGTTTGATTACAGAACTCACAATTGTATATATATATAGGACAAATATAAGTAGTACACACGCACACACGTGGTATTTTTATCTATATATATATATATATATATATATATATGTTTGTTTGTGTGTGTGTGTGTAACGTTAAAACGAATTTTCTATACCCGTCCACTCCCTAGGTTTCATTTTATTTCGTCTATTTTCTTACCTTTTTCTTTGGCCCTTTTCCATGGGATTGATTCGAAGAAAGGTTTTGCTACGAAAACGCGTTGATTTTTGACGAAAGGTAGAACACACCGTAGAAAGGAAAGAATGGAAGGTAGGAAAGAAAAAGAAAAAGAAAAAAAAAAAGAAAAAGAACAAAACTCTCATGCTCAGAATCTACGAAAAGTCCGATAGGTCCAAGGGGTTCAGGAGAAACGCGTGTGATTGGCTTATTGTACGAACACGACGTCTCGTACGATTACAAATGAAGTTCAACCTTTTTTTTTTAAAGTATTGTAAAATCACACATGATTGATAAAACACCCCTTGTCAATTCAATGTACAATTTTGAACGATACTTTTTTTTTTCTTTCTTATAAAAAAACAACACACACACACACATTTTCTTCCACAGGACCCCAATGAACTTTCGTGTTCCTAATTTCAATTAATAATAATAATTATTATTATTATTATTTTATTCTATTTGGATAACGTTGAGAGAATTTTTTGTACAATTTTCGTTGATTTTCTTTGTTTTATTTAAAACACCCATCCCTCCCCCTCCCCAAAAAAATAGAAACAAATTTTTCAGTGATAGGAAAGAAAGGAATTTTGATCATTTAACAAAAAAAGAATTAGAATATATATATATATATATATATAAATATGTTTAAAGTAAAAGCACGACGATGAAAATTGTGCAGTAACTACGAAAATCGTATGTACTTCTATTTTTTTATTTCTTTTTTTTTTTTTATCTCTCTGTCTCTCTCTCTCTCTTTTTTTTAATTTTTTTTCTCTCTCTCTTTATCTCCGCCTCTCTTTTTATGCCATAAAACCGCAAGGTAGATAATTTAAAGCTCGATGAGTTAAAAAGGGAGAAGCTTTGGTAAAGCACCATCAACGTAAGAGAATGAGAAAGAGAGAGAGAGAGAGAGAGAGAGAGAAACTGGCGAATACCAGATGGTGTGAGAATTTGAGTCATAAAAAAAAGAAAAAAAAATATAGAGTAAGAGTAAAAGAGAAAAAGAAAGAGAGAGAGAGAGAGAGAGAAGGGAAAGCATTGGGAGTGGGTAAAAAAAAAAAAGAAAAATAAAAGGGTTGGAAAAGTGGGAGAAAAAGAAATAGAAAAAACGTATATCCACCGCAAAGTTTTAAATTCGTGCAACGTCCGACTGAGCCGTTTCTACAATGGGCCCGCAAAGTTTTATCTGAATATGACAGAAAATCCGGTCGCGGCTTATAAACATTTTTATATATGTATGTACATACATACATACATACCATGGATGGAGGAAATACTGGTAGCTACGAACAACCCGGTGCATTAATTAAACTTTATGCACGACCAACAAAAAATAAAAATCTACGTTTATATATTATATACATATATATATATATATATATATATATATATATATATATATATATATATATATATGTCCATATATTATATAATTTGTATACATATATGTGTATATTAGTTTATTAATCCGTGTAAGTTATTCCATCGTTTATTTTGGTTTTTTTATTTTACGTTTTGTTTTTTTATTTACAGTTGTTTTTTTTTATTTATTTATTGTTATATTTATATTTTCATTACACTATTTCCTTGAAGATAATCGCTTTTAATTTTTAGTATTTACGATTTGCAATAATCCACGAAAATGCATTCTTGGTTGGCATTGATGATAATTTGTTTTTAAAACAAAGTTAATCATTTATTATTAACAATTGTTTATAGTATACAATAAAAATATATTTATTTGGAATGTATAACTCGTACAAATCGGAAACACTGATAATTTCATTTAAAAAGTACTTTTTCTTATACGTATGTCTGGTTGTTTGTCTATCTTAAGGGGCTGAACAAATCTTACAGTATACAGGGTTGCCTATCCCCAGGCGTAGTACCAAATAAATAATTAATAATTAATTAATATTTTTTTTTATTTGAAAAGAAACGTATATACACACGAACACATATAGTTGAAATCTTGTATTTTTTCTTATACGTATATCTGGTTTATTACCTATCTTAATGGGCTAAGCAAATCATGCAGTATACAGGGTTGCCTATCTTCAGGCGTAATACTAAATATATAACATTTCATAGTGCAATAAAAATTTTAAAAATAAATAAAGTATTTGATCAAATTAACAACAAACAATGCATTTTACTATATCAATCATATTAACAAACACAAAACTTGAAATTCTTTTCTACATACTGGAAAACAAAATGAATAAAATACGCTTACTAGATAATTAACTATATTTATATATATATTATTATTTATTTTTTTGTTTGAAAAGAAGTATATATATACACACACATATATAGTTGAAATCCTAACGAGTTAACGACTCACAGAGTCATAACTCGGTACTCGATCGGCCCCAAGAGAACGTGAGTTTCCCAGAGCGCGTAATTTAAGTGACATTCATACTGACTCTCCAGTATTTACTTGCGAAGCGAGGCAGTTGCCGCTGTCCAAATTACCATATTCTACTTTCCGCTACACGTTCTCGCGGGTTTGGCCCAGATTCGCTTCCTCCAACTTAATAAACAGGGCCTTTAACGTCGACCGTGCCACGCGAAAGCACCTTCTTGCTTAAATCTTGTTGCGTTTTATCAGGCTTCCTCTTACCAGTGTTCGTCCACCGACAGTGAGATGTATACCATTTTATATAGTATATATGTGTTATATACTATATATACTATATGTATATATACTTTGATATTAGCCTCTTATATATACACATAAACCCTCTTAACGTGTGTTGTTTGCGTCCTATGTAATACGTTTTTCATTTATATACGCGTTCAAGATAACATAGACTACACATGACTCTTCTTATTCTTTTTTCTTTTTTTTTCTTTTTTCTTATTTTTATATTCAACAATTTTTTGTTGTTATTTATATACCAATATAGTTGTCGTAAAAAATTGTAAGGGGAGAAAGGAAAAAATAACGGAACAAAATATGTATATTGTTTCAGAAGTAATTGTCTTCTTGTTTTATTATTTAAGTAATTTATTTATTTTTTTATTTTTATTGTTCATTCACCGAATAACAAATCCCTCCTCTCGTAAATCTTAAAATCATTTTACAATAATTATTACTATAACTTATTTTTTATTATTAATTGTACCTTCTTTTATTAGCAGATATTTTTTATGGTAATTATTTATTATTACATGCCCATTACTTTTTTATATTTTTTTTTTCGTTTTTTTTTTTTCTAGACTGTTCTCCTACTTCTTTTTTTTTTTTATTTTTTTTTTATTTTGTTTTTCTACTTTTCCCCTCTTATTTTAGCAATTCACAGAGCCAAGTTCGCGTCATGAATGATTGAACGCAAAGGGTACGTAAAAGGGTGAACTGCTGCAACTACTCTTCTCCTTGGAATAATAACGTATGGGGGTGTGGGTAAAGGGGTGAGAAGCATGAAAGTGAGGAAGACGTACTTTGCACATTTCTATGTCGTGTCAACGATATATCGCTAAAAATGTTCTTTTTCAAATTATTCTACACGTGTAGGTAAATATTTGTTTATTTATGGCTAATACAAAAAAAATAGACAAATCTTATATATACATATATATCATAAGGGAGAGTATGATCAGTCATTTTTAAGTAGAACCAACCTTTATATGGTCAGACATTTTTAAAAGATGACAATTTTATTTGACTGATGTCTGACCATATAGACATTTTTCTACTGAACACTGAACACTTTTATTTAATTCATCTAAGTAATATTTAAATACTATTGAAAGATTTATTTTTCCAAGTAGAAACATAAAATATTTTGTTAACTTTTTGAAATGATTTTATTTGAATATAAAAAAAAAGAAAATACTGCAATGGTGCTTTAATCTTTCATTTTTAACAGAGATAATCATGACTCTTTGTTAATAAACAAATGATAAAATAATATTGCGATTATAAATTGTGATATAAATTATCCTATCTTTCAAGTTGGATGAAATTGCACACAGTGTGTAAAATTTGATTAAAATCGGTTCAGTAGTTTAGGAGTCCATTGCGGACAAACAACGTGACACGTAATTTATATATATATTAAGAAAGAAAAGATAAATATATAATTATTTTTATAATCTAAATATAAAATACACAAATATATAACCATAATAAAAATGAAATTAATTGAATGTTAGTGAACTCGATGTTAAATGAGTTAGAAAATGAACCAACCCTTTATTCTATATGATATATTTTTTTACAGGGTGAGGGGGCATGTTGGTGTGCCGGCGGTTGCTGCTGATCGCAGCCGCGATCGCGGCCTCGATCGTGGTTGGCTCCGCTAGTTTTCGTTCAAGTATATCCTCGGACAATCCTGGCAATCTTAGAACGACATCATCCGAGGTATCATCCCCTAGTAGCCCAGAAACTAGCGGCACGTCTACCGAAATCACCGATACGATCGTTTGCAAACCGTCCGAGTATCTTTGTGGTACTGGCCAATGTGTTGCACAGGACAAATATTGCGATGGGGAAAATGATTGCGATGACAAATCCGACGAGCCACGATATTGCACTCGTAATTATATTTATAATATATTTATTTATTGTTTGTATTTTTATTTTATTAGATAAAAACCCATTACACACACGTGAGAGGTTTATTTAAAAAGGTTTTTGGGTAAAAAAAAAAACAAAACAAAAATAAAATGTATAAAATGCGTGTGTGGTTATTTTTTTTTTTTTATTTAAACCGAATATATAATAATTTTGTTGTGTTTTTTTTTTTGTTTGTTTTTGTTTAGGAAAATATTTATTATTTTATAATATATTTATTAATTATCTTTTATTTTTATTTTTTATTTTACGAGATAACAATCCATTAATAACATACGCGAGATTTGCAAAAAAGGTAAATTTTTGGTAACAAAAATAAAACAAAATAAAATAAATAAAAATAATTACAGATTTATTTATTAGTTATTTTATTTTGTCAACCAAATATGTGTAATAATTTTTGTCTTTTCTTTGGTTTTGTTGGTTTAGGAAAAATATTCGTTTCACATCTCAATTTCTTTTTATATTTTTGTTCTTTCAAAAATATGTTGGTTTAAAACTTGCCAACACAACTCTCTCTCTCTCTCTCTCTCCATTCTTCTTTGTATTCTCTTTGACGTTATCGTTAATCTATCTTCTTGTACGTACATATATACGTATGTACACATGCATGTGAATAAAATAGAACAAAAAGGAATAGGAAAATGTTGACGTGCATAGTATACAACATAGAACAATCAGACGAATGTCAAAACTCATAGTTGTCGTTCGTTTGATTTTTATTTTTTCTCTCTTTCTTTCTTTTCTATTCTCTCTCTCTCTCTTTCTCTTTCTCTTTCTCTCTCTTTCGTGATAAGAACTGATCTAATTACGTCGTAGCAAGCAACGGTCAGCGAAAATTCGAACAGCTAGGTGATATCATTCGTCCGATTGGATTTCGACCAGTCATAGATGCAGTTAAAATTCTATCGGTACACTCGGACGAATCGCGAGTGAAATTTTTATGAAAGCTAACATATATATAGACACACATACATACACATATACACACATAAAACATAGTACGTGCATCCTGTGTATCTGTATATGAACATATATGTATGTACGTACGTACATAGATATCGTTCGTCGTTCATAACAAGACTTCACGTTGTTATTAGTTTTAACGCAATCGGACCGTTTGTTATTAACATTTCAAAATATCGAAACGAAGCAATAACATCATGTCATGATATATATATATATATATTTTTATTTGTTTATTTCTTTTTTTTCATTTCTCTCCCTTTTATCATTTTAAACAACACGATAGATTAAAAAAAGAAAGAAAACAAAACGGATCCTAAAATCGAAACAAGATTTCATACACTATTTTCAAATCAATCATCATTTCTATCATTTCATTTATTATAAATATAATTATAGTTATAAATAAATAATTATTAATGTTTGTTAATTTAATATAACTTTTGTAAAGTTCTGTACTATTTTTGTTCTTTCGTTTTGTTGTGCTATAACATTTGAAATGAAATAATATGGATGTTGAAATTCGTATGGTTTATAAAAAAAAAACAAAAATAAATTTGTTGTAGCATGCAACCGAACATTGTACGGTGATGTCGGTCGGACGTACAGAATGGAAGTCCGTCGGCCGAGGAAGGATCATCTGCCATTCTTGTGTCATCTCAACTTCACTGCCGCCGGTTCTGATCTCGGTGATTTAGTTCAGGTAAGAATAAATAAATAAATATACGATATATATAATATATATTTTTAGGACGATTATTACATGTCTAACAATAAATAATATCAATTTTTATTATTCTAAAAATATGCATAATTAATTGAATTTTTATCATTATTTCAAATCAACATTACGCCTGTAGGAATGCAACCCTCCAAATACACTTTGAAAATGTTGCTTGAAAGCGCCATCTAATGAGACGGAATTTTTGTTCAGTCCAAACTGTTTATACACGCGTGTATTACAGGGTTGCCTAACTTTCGGGCAGAAAAAAATATTTCGTCCCAACAGGTGGCGCTCGCAAGCAACATTTTCAAAGTGTGTCTGGAGGGTTGCATACTTACAGGCGCACATTTTTTATAATTATTTAATAAATAATTCTAAAAAAATGTAGAAACAATATTATTTATTAAATTATTCTACTTCTGATACTATGATACTTATTTTTATAATCAAAAATAACACTATTTAAAATATAATTGTACTCTAACCATAATGGATTCCTATGAACGTGATATACGATTTTATAATAAGATTAAAATATAAATAATATATAACTTTGATAATAATGAATTTATGAATATCTGACACTTTTTAAGTGTAGACAGATTTTACGAACTAAATGTTATTTATATAAAGAGAGAAAAAAAAAACAAATAACGTTATTCGTTTGAATTTAATAATATTAAAAAAAAAAAAAAAAAAAAAAAAAAAAATACAAAAAATTGAATGAAAGAAATAAATGCGTGAACAATAAATGGAATAAATAAAGCACGAAACCTTTTTTTTTTTTTCTTTGAAAAATTCGCTTTCCGTTCGAATGATTGCATTCGAATTTTTATTTGAAGTATTTTTTCGTATTTTTCAATTAAATTTTTTAATATTATCATCCATGCACACAAGGTGTCACCCCCCGCGGGTAAATCTTTGAAATAAAATATAAAAATAAATCACAATAATTATTTAAACATTTCAATGATGAAATAAAATTAATTATATTATTTTTTCTAAGAAGTTAGTCTCTTCTTTTTATGATTTTATTAATCAATATAATTATATGTATATATATATATCACTAAATAAATCTTCTATCATTTATATTGTCTATCATATTTTTGATTTATCTCGTATATAATGAATTTTGTTATTTTCGTTGAAATTTCGTTGATATCTTCTTTCTCCTTGGTATACCTGTCCACTTATTTTTCTTCCTGACTAAGCTTACAGGTTGTCTCAAAATATACAAGGTATAAATTTAGAAATATCATTTCACTACAATTCAGAAATTGAGGTCACATCGAACATAAAATATGAACCTTGTTTTTCTTATTTCTAATTATAAAAAGTATATAGCCTCTTGAAGTTATATATATATATATATATATATACTGCTATGTATTTTGAAACACCTTGTATATACATAGGGGTATAAAAATACATATGTATACGTTGTAGAAAATTAAGGAAACGCTGACTGTAGGAGTTTCAAGTGAAAAGATACTGTCACGGGTCAGACACGGGCGTAGCCCGAAGGTTCCTGGCCACTCCCGTTAGAATACCGAAAATTTATTGTTCCGTTTTCTCACGATTTTCATCTCTCATCTCTTTTCATATCTTTCTCTTTCTCTATTTCTCTCTCTCTCTCTCTCTCTCTTATTCTCTTTTCTATCCGCTAGGCAAATTAAAAGGGTTCGCGTGCCAACTAAAATATTCCCTCACCTCGAATATTCACCTACACATATTACATACACCTATTTATATATACATGTATTTACATGCATTTACATATGTGTATAAGTGTTATGTATATGTGTAGGAAAGGTGGCCTATTTTAATCTACAAGGTAGTACGGTAAAACGTAGCCAATCGGAAATTTTTCGTATAAAAATATTTCATCATGCCAATGCATTTCGTAAATTTGTTTGTTTTACTTCTCTCTCTCTCTCTCTCTCTCTCTCTCTCTTTCGTTTAATTTACCAATTGTATTGGAACCTTTTTTTATATGAATCATCCTTCCCCTCTTCTCAATTGGCAAATTCTTCGAACAAATTTGTGCGTATCACTTTCTCTCTCTCTCTCTCTCTCTCTCTCTCTCTTTTTATTTTGTTTTATCTTTTTCGTCGATTTAAAGTACTTCGCAAAATATACGTCCATTTACCTTACAGATTAAAATGGATTTTCCTCTGCGTTAACCACTCTCTATCATACACACATACACACACACACATATATATATGTAACATAAACAAATTGATCAGCAAACAAAGATGCAACGTTCGATGTTAACGATGAAATAACTTTCGTAAATGGTTCGATGAAAATTCACTTTTCCGATTATATTTTAATAACTAAAGTAATTTATACATTAAATGAAGGTTATCTATGATATAATAAATTATTATTAATACTATGACGTCCGTTTGAGCGATAATTTTCGAATGGATTCACCAACGTGAATCCACCAGCACTTACCCAAAAGTTTTCGCATGGCACCAACGTGGAGCCATCGGACGTCTTAATGTTAATAATAATAATAATAGGAATTTCGTGTGTAATTGAATAATACAGTTAATGGACAAATGACATTTTTCTGTTTACAGTTAACGTTCGACACGTTTACGGTTGGTCGATTTCAATCTTTCACGTCAGAAGGATGCCCGGATGGTTTCATGAGTATTCGCGAAGAGGGTCGTCCAGCGACAGGTGGACAATGGTGTGGCAGTGCTTGGGGTTACACGGTCTATTACAGTGAAACACCCTCAATCAATCTCACTCTTTACTTGCAACGCTTGCCCGAGGAGGTAAACGAGTCTTTCTTTAGATCCAATGCAATTTCAGATACCACAACTACCACCAACCCTTATTCTTAACGACAACTCTATTCTCACAACAACTTATTCTGTAAAAACCATTATATTAAATGTGTCAACAAAAATTCTAACATTCATTGAAATAATTGATAGTTATTAAAGAATTATTTCTGATAATAATCACTTAACTGAATAACTAATTACCCATACTTTTGTTTCAGTAATTTAAATATATATTTAATGTTACTTCAGATAGAGTTTGTATTTGTAAAACAATATACGTTTTTTAAATTTCTTAATTATTTCTCGATCATTAGATGCAAAATTTAATATCATTAACAACAGTGAACTGAAATGATTATTTAACAAAAATTATAAGTAAAAGAATAATTCAAAAAAAAGAAAAAAAATATATGGGATTATTAATAGTTCAAAATTATGTACGCGTATTGTAATTGAAGATGAAACGTTTCATCTTGAAACATGAGATTACTCATCACTAAGGAGAATAATTTGGCAAAGGGCGGTGGAAGGGGGAGGGAGAGAGAAATCCTTCTCATCGTTGATCAAATTATTCCAATTAATCCATCTCAATAATCTTAGGAAAATGAAACGGGTGGGGCAACTAAGGAAGTAAACGAGAGTTCAGTGTAGAAGAAGGAGAGAGAAAGGAGAAGAGAGAAGATAGAAGATAATAATAATAATAATAGTTAGAAATTGATGCTAATAATCTTAAATTTTAGGGTATAGGTTACAACTTCGACTTCCAACTGTCGTACAAGTTTCTAAGACGAAGCGAAGCACATCTAAGGTATGGGAACACGAGTATGGCTACTTGGCGAGGTGAATTGGTAAATGGTACCTACTGTGATCGCGTATTAACCAAATGCGACACACGTGTCTGTCGTCTACAGTCACCGAACTATCCTGGCGTTTATCCCAGGAACGTCACCTGTTACTATCGCGTTGAACAAAATCGTGCACCACCTGGGCACAGAGCACTTCTTGCTGTCAGTCAACGTAACAGTCACAAAATACACATCAAGGATCAGATTGTCAAATATGACAGAAGTCAACGTATACTTAGGTAAGTTATCTTTTTTAAAGTGAAAACTTTCTTTAGAATGGGTGTGATTTGAAAAAATGTAACGGAGCGGTAGGCGGCTATGTAACGGAGCGGTGGGAGGCAATGAAACGGCCACGATACTAAATAAGAAGAGAATACAATTATCCTACACCAGATATTTTGTATTCGTGTCATTCTCTCGAAACTTAATTTAATTGAAGATTTCACTTCTAACACGTGTGATCTGCGCACATGTTTCTTTTTTTAAGTGAAAACTTCTTTAGAACGGGGGTGAGAGTGATTTGAAAAGACGACAGGTAGCAATAAACAAAAATCATGAATCAGTCTCAATTTTCTAGTCTTTTATTATTTTTATATTTATGAGATACTATATGTTATTCTAAAAATATGCTAATTACAAAATTAATGTTCAAGTTTTATCATTTTTTATAAAAACATTCGCGCCTGTAGGTATGCAACCCTCCAGACACGCTTTGAAAATGTTGCTTGCGAGCGACATCTGTTGGGAGGGGAATTTTTTGTTCTACCCGAAAGATAGGCAACTCGTAATACACGCGTGTATAAACAGTTTGAACTGTAAAAAAATTCCGTCACATTAGATGGCGCTCGCAAGCAACCTTTTAAAAGTGTGTCTGGTGGGTTGCATTCTTACAGGCACACATTTTTTATAATTATTATATTTTCAGTATTTTAGTAATAATCAGCTCGTTCAACAATTTATTTCACAAATAAGGGAAATCGTTAAAATAGTTATTATCTACTGACAATGAGATTAAATCAATAAAATTTGATCGTGAAATTTTAACGATGGGGTAATATAGCTATTATACTCTTTCTAAATTTTTTTGTTTATATACGATCATTTTATTCAGAAATTAGTCGTAAAAATCTAATCAATTTTGTCATATCTCTTTAACTAATAATAAATAAAATAAACATTGTTTCTTTTTTCATCTGAAGATCATAATGTTCAATGCACGATGATTAAGATGTAGTTAAAAATAATTTGAGAAAAAATAATTTGATGAGGACTTGTTCAAATTGATTTATTAACATATACATATATATATATAGTAATATAAAATAAATTAGAGGGATAATATAACGAGCAAAATATTTTGTTCATCTGTAGTATCCGTGTGTATGGAGGGGGTTGCATTCTAACAAGCGTGAATTTTTTTAATTATTAAATAAATAATTACAATTATTATATTGTATATATATTTGTAGTTGTTTATAAATAACTTTAATAATCAGCTCGTTCAGCAATTTATTTCACAAATAAGGTAAATCATTAAAGGTTAATAAAAGTAGGGCAATAGTTGTGATGTTAAATACTAAGTATGTACTATAATACCATTGCAAACACCAAAGTAGGTTTGAAACCACGATTAATCATAAAAAATAAACCTTTTTTTTTACCCTTCATCTTCTTCTTCTTCTTTTCTCTTTTTTTTTTTTTTTTTTTAATTTTTCAAGAACTGATGTCGTGGAAATAGGTCAGTAGGTCTAGTGTCAACCCTTTTCGAGCAATGAGTTTTTCCTAATGTTAAACAACCACGTAAACGAGGTATACATTTCGTAAAAATATTAATATTTTTTGTTTTGTTTTTTTTTTTTTTCATTTTTATTCGAAAGATATAAAAAACAAAGTGTAATGAAAAAAATATAAAATAAAATAAAAATTTAAAACACAATTCGTGGTTGAATGAGATGAAACGATATATTATGATGATACATTATAATAATGGCAATAATTATAGATATGAAGTATAATAAACGATAATTGTCATTAATAAAATGAAAGCTTTACTTGTCTGTCGTCAATAGGGGATACGAAAATTTCAATTTACTAGATAGAACGTTTTGCATAATTTATGCGAACAGGCAAACGTAATTTGAAATTGGCGGGACTTTTAGTCCCATCAGAAATATACGAATGTATGTATGAATATTTAGGGGTGAGGAGACACCATTGTATACATCTATATATATATATGTGTGTTGTGGACGCGACCGGGAATTTAAAATCGAATTAAATTTCTCGCCCGTATCATATGTCCCCCCACTCTTAATAATAAATCTTTCAAAGTTCCTACAAATGTATAATCCAGTTGTACAAGCTGTGAGTTTTAAAAAAAAAAAAGAAAGAGGAGATCAGTAATGTTCTAGTTGATGAACAAAAATGTTCATGAGGTGAATACATATAATACTAAAAAAGATCTCGCACGGTCTCGTTTATTCTATCAAACAGAAATTCATTTAACTACAAAAACGTTGATAACAACCTTATATAAAAGAGATAATAATGGTAGTCGTTGTCATTATGGTTTTGTTGATAATTCGTTTTTAATTTTGGTAGAAAATATATATTGGGTTTTTTTTTAAATAATAATACACTTCTTAAATATATTATATTATTATGTATGTGGCTCACAATCAGTCCGATACACGATACACACGTCTTTAAGTCAACGAATTACCTTATACCCGCCATCTGTTAGAATCTTATCGAACTAACAGAAATAATCATGACTGTTTGTTAATAAACAACAAATAATTCGCAATAAAATAATATAAATTATCCTATCTTTTAAGTTGGATGAAACTGCATACAGTGTGGAAAATTTGATTAAAATCGGTTCAGTAGTTTAGGAGTCCATTGCGGACAAACAACGTGACACATAATTTATATATATATATTAAGATATTATATAATATTATATAAAATGAATGTTCATTTTGTTCTTACTTTTTTCTTTTTTTATATATATTTTTTTTTCTAATTCTTTTGATTTATTTGTTCACAGAGTTTGGGATCAGTGTAATATAGTACAAGATTACTTAACCGTATACGACGGTGGTTCAACATCAGATAGAGTACTCGTGAGATTGTGCGGAGGAGACGCAGTACCGGATATAGTCAGTAGTCACAACACAATGCTTTTGGAATTTCACACCTCCCCATACGATAATCCATTTCACCCTGTACCTTTGTCGTTTCTTCCAGGATTCGAGCTTGAAGTTCAGGTGAGATTCAACATTTTCTATTACAAACTTTATTCCATTCTTTTCTTTTTTTCTTTCTTTGACGTTCTGTATCCTTTTTTTTTTTTTTTGTTGTTGTTGTAGTTATCCTACGTTTCAACAAGATTGAAAATAAAAGAAAAATATTTCGTTGAAAATCAAACAAATCTCGAACGATAAAAATTCAAACTTCTCAAACGAAATTGAATTTTTTCACGTTAACCTTTTCTAAAAATTGTTCTCTGTTTTTGTGTGGGTGTATGTGTTTTTTTTTTTTAATTTCATCAATATTTTTCTTTTTCTTTTCTTTTAAATTACAATTTTTGATAGAATTTATTCTATACAACGTTCTGTCAGGTTTATTTTGTTTTCAAATTATGAAAAATATCGGTACGCACGTATTAAAGTCACCGCAGCAAAAATTCCGCTAATGCGCCAATCTACATCTTAAATTGTTGCGACAAATCATAGAATACAAAATATTATTTCAAATCAAAACACTTTGAAAATTCGAAACATTTTATTTATAAAAAGTAGTCAATCGGATTTCGGTGGAAAATGAATGGGCCAACATAGATTCAAAACAGTCTCTATTTTCTTTCACCTGATGCTGTTGCCATAACCCTGACTAAACCCTGACGAAACCCTGACGAAACCCTGACGGTTGCTGTGTACAAACAACAAGGTTGTTTTATGCGAACAACAAGATTGCTCTTTATTGGCGCATTAGCGAAATTTTTGCTGCGGTGGCGTTAATACGTAAATACCAAAATATCTTTTAATATTTCAACATGATACAAACAAATTATCGATCTAATTTGTATTCGATTTGAAAAGAAAAGAAATGAAAAAAAAAAAAAAACAAGGAAAGAATGTATTTATTTGTTGAAAATATAATATGAAAATATATTCCTCAAATCCCAATGGTTATTTTAAAAAACACTTTATATGCATATATAAATCCGTAAGAGTTTAAAGTTCGATTTTATCGTATATATATATATATATATATATATATATATATATATATATATATCGTAATACGAATTCATCGAAATCTCTTAGGTGCTATTCGTCGACGAAAAATCCCGAAGCTTCGTGAAGGAGAACGACAACTGCGACTTTTATATATCGAGCGAGGAAAGCTCGTTGGGAATACTGGAAAATCCGAAGCACTCACTTCCGCCGAATACAACTTGCCGTTATCACTTTCAAGGAAAACTAAACGAGATAGTTTGGCTTTCCTTCGTCAAGTATTATGCAGCTAGTGCAGAACTTGCCGCGAATCTTCATACTGGTGCAGATTGTAACGCGAAGTTGTTGATATGGGATGGCGATCATGCTTCGAATAAACTTGTTACAACGAGAAAGGTAGACAAACAAAAAATTTACAATATGTTTCGATTGTACGACGATACGTGATCATATTTCTTGAAAATATTTCAACGACTAACTTTTATCACAGATTTTCAATTATATTTTGAAAACATTTAACACACGTTTAGGAGCCACGTCAGTTATCAGTGACTGACAGTTCAACTATTTTTACAATACAAAGTAACACCTGTGGCCTAACGGAAATTTTCCTAACAATTCAAACTAAAACATGATCACGTAGAAATAAGTTTCAGTTTAATATAGAAACCTTTACAATATCTAAATTGTCATTTTTCCTTTATGATGAACTCATTAATTGGATCGAGTAATATTCTTTCAGAATATCACACTGATGGGCCAATTTTGTAAAGACGACGTACCAAGACTTTGCGATCATAGTCTTTTACGTAATAGCAGTCGTCATACGCGTCCTTGCAGTTTGACCGAGAGTTACGTTTCAACTGGAAGGGATCTTACTTTGGAACACATTTTACGTCAAGGAAGTGCACTTTATCCGATAAGCTTCGTATTGCGTTATGAATTTGTGCACGAAGCCACATCCTGCAATCACGTTTTCTCAATGGCGTCTCCAACTTCCTCTACGTCTTCCACATCATCGTCATCATCGTCATCGTCATCATCATCATCTTCGTTATCAATAATCTCGAACTTTGGAAAGTTCACATCTCCTAAGAGCGTATTTCTCTATGGTCGAGGTGGCACGCAAAATCTCAGCTGTGTTTATAGATTCGAGTCTGAACCCGAACACAGAATAGAGTTGTCCATTGACAAAGCTTCATTCGGTGATAAGATCTGTTCCTCTTACATAGATCCACTCGTCAATCGATGGACTTGCGATAGACGTATTGGCGGGCCAAGAAAGTTTGGTATTGCTGAACTCGTCATTGCTGAGTATCCTTGGCACGAGGTTGAATTGGTAAGTCACAAAGAAGACCCATGTGAAATATAAGCTTCCCATTGATTCTTCTTATTCCTTTTTCTGTATACATTTCAATAGTTTGTATAAAAAATCGATTAAAGAAAGAATATCTAATTTCATTGGAAAATATATCCAACCCATTAAACGCGCAAACGATTGAAATATTTCAAGAAAAATATTATAAGATCCCACTTTAACATTTTATCTTTCTATTTGCAGATACGCGACTGTTTGTGCTCAAACGTGAGTGAGAGAATCGTTTTGAGGAGTCTAACGTCAAACGTCATAGAAATTAGATTTACAGTGACACTGATGAATGTAACGCAAGATTACAGGGATTACTTTTTCGAAGGAGAATATCGTTTTATTCCAATGAATACTGAAAACAGTGAGCAAGGGGGTTGCTCAACGAAACTTGAAGAACGTCGATTGCGTGGTACCAGTGGTGAGATATCACTGAGAAGTCCATTACCACGTGTTACTCCAGGTTTAGCAGCTGTCGAAGAAATGTTAACTAACACGGAAGATTTAACAGCAACACAATGCGTTAATGAACCCTGGTTGATTGAACCTGAGGATGCTAGAATGAACTTTCTTTATTTACGAACTGCTGGTTATAGTATTGATCTTGACAACGTTGAAGCATGTACCACACAAAATCGAATAATTGTATACTCAGCAGCCAATACCAAAGAACGCAGTGTAATTTGTCCAGAAGGTGGAGTGGATACCAGCAAAACAGTTGACTTCTTCTCAGGTGGTTGGAATTACAGTGCTGTTAATGCTAGTGTTGCAATGCATCAACACTCAAGAAGTTTTGTCGTTGAATTTTTACAAAGAGAACCTGGATTTTATGCTGTTACGTGGATGGCTATCTCAAAACGAACACCTACATCCAGTCTTGGTTCCAACGCTTTTACAATTTTACCTACAGAGGAATGTCCTTTTAGGTATGACAATTGACATTTTGATCATTTGAAACATTGTAGAATCTAAAAATGAATCTTATCTTATTCTAGGTGTCCAGAAATCCATGCTTGCATCAGTCAAGTACTTTGGTGCGACGGTGTTCGTAATTGTCCTTCGGGAAACGATGAGAAGGAAGAAAACTGTTCGTATCGTTTTGGTCCAACATTATACTACGTTGCTATTGGTGCCGGTGCTCTTGGTGTATTCTTCGTCCTTTTACTTGCTACCGGTTGCCTAAAATATTGCCTGTCTCGTCACAAAACACGAAAGAAGAAAAAAAATGCTGCACTCAATGTAAATCATCACGTTAATCATACTCACCATAATAATGGTTTGACCGGAAGCAGATTGAGCGGACGTTACAATCTTCCTACACCACAGGAAATGTATTTGGAGAATTATGGGAAGGATAGTATTTGTTGACAATACGCCATTACTAATATCGAGACCACCGTGTGAATAGTTTGAGAGGTTTTTTTTTCGTTTTTTCTTTTTTTTTTTTGTGGTTTTAATCTGCCTAATTTTAGACTTCATAGAAAAATGGCGTCAAAAATAGGCATAAGGCAGATGACAAGAAAATGATGAATTAAATTGAGTTTATTTACGATTAATAATAATAATAATAATAATAATAATAATAATAATAATAATAATAATAATAATAAAACAAATATATAATTATCGACGAGTACGTTTTTATAAAAAAAAAAATATTATCAGCGAATTTTTTGAAAAAAATCTGATAAATTTGATAACACAACGATTGAATTTTTATTAGGTGCTCGTCTAATTTATTTAACAAAGTTTTTGATAATGTGATACAATATGACGCATGAATTGTTTTTCTTTTTTTTTTTATCTCTCTTTCTCTCTCTCTTTTTTTTAAGACAAGAAAAAAGAGAAATTGTATCGATCGTTAAGAAAGAAACCAGCCAGAAATGTCGTCGTTCTACTTGTCGAGCTCATCTTGCGTGATTTTCACTCTCACGAACACAGAAACCGACCAAGTTCCATTATCCTCTCTTGAAAAAAAAGGGAAGAAGAATTATTATTATTATTATTATTATTATTATTATTATTATTATTATTATTATCATTATTATTATTATTATCAGTGAGCTGCGACTGTTAGTAAATTTAAATGCGCGTTTTTTGGTAAATCATAGGTGCGAGCAGTGAAAAGTGGTGTGCAAAAAAAAAAAACAAAAATAGAAGGAAACCATTTTCGTATGTAATCGTCTGCTTTTAAACCAAAGAGAGAGAGAGAAAAAAAAAGAAAAAATAAAAGAGAGAGAGAGAGAGAGAGAGAGTGGGAAAATGAGGAAAGAGGAAGTGTGACAGTTTAAAAGAAAAAAAAAAAAAAAAAGAAAAAAAATCTGATCCACTCAGAATCTGCGAAAAATCTTTGTTTTTAATAAAAACCAAAAAAAGGAAAAAAATAAGCAAACGAAAAAAGAACAAAAAAAAAATAATAAAAAGACTCGAAAGAAGCGTATCATTTTGAAAAAAATAAAAAAATAAAAAAATAATCAAGAAAATGACCAAACAAAATGGAAGCCATTTTACTCAAATTCTTTTTTTTTTTTTTTCTTATTCACACGCGACACAAAACTCATTTTCACGATCTTTTCCATAATAATAATAATAATAATAATAATAATAATAATAATAATAATAATAATAATAATAATAATAATAATAATAATCGAGAAAGAAATATATATATATATTTTTCACTCTCGTCTCTTTTCCCAAATCTCTCGAGAAATCAACAATTCAAAAAAAAAAATGAAAATAAAGAAAAAAAGAGAGAAGAAAAACAACAAAAAAAAAAAAAAAAAAAAAAAACAAGAAGAAAGAAAGAAAGAAAGAAAACAGAGAAAAACTAAACTAAAGTAAAAAGTAAACTACAGAAAAAAAAAAAAAAACGTATGTCGTCATCCGTCGATGTAGGCACCATTTTATAAACATGGACGACATTACGAAATACACTCGTCCATAAACACATACATACATATACATATACATACACATACACTCAAATGCACATTTAGCACGTTGAATGTCACGTCAGTCATATGTGACTGACACTGAACTATCAGTTCAAGCCACGTCAGACACAAATGACTGACACTGAACTTTCAGTTCAGGCCATGTCAGGCACATATGTCTGACGTTCACCTTTCGTTCTGCTACCCGTGGCCTGACAAAGATTTCGATAAGAATTCGCGTGGCCCTCAACGCGTTAAAAAGAACGAAAAAAAGGAAAAAAGATACATAACATACACATACACACATATACACGTAAAACAAAAAAAAAAGAACGTTACATGATTCCTATTATACCTTAATCCAAACTTTATAATCATTTAAAAAAAAAGCGACTGATATTAAAACGCATAGATAAATCGCACGTGTACTACTCTAGGTTTGATATCGATCGAGCAAAGCTTGAACCGACCGGTAGAGTTGGATGTATAGTTAAAATATTTATTATTTAAATGAGAAAAAAAGATAAAATAAAGAAGAAGAAGAAGAAGAAGAAGAGGAAGAGAAACAAAAAAAAAGTAAAGAGAAGTAAGAAGAAATAAAAATAACCAAAGAAGATCGAACAACAACAACAACAAGACAACCAACAACAACAAACAAGTTTTGTGAGATAGACGAAATTGACAAATTTCAAATAATACCAATTCTCTCGTATTTATATTCTTTTGTGAGAGAAAGAAAAAAAGAAAAAAAAAACTAATCGTCGGTTAATACCGAACGATGATAAAACGATTAGAGGACTATTAATATGATCGAATGCTGTGATAGAAGTAAGCGTATCAACAATCGCAACAGGAATTCCTTCGCGTGTGTGTGTGTTTACTTTTATTTTTACTTCCTCCGATTTTTGTCTCTCTTTCTATTCTAAAATTTGTTTTAAAATGGAGGAAGGATCTTTTCCAATCATCATCATCATCATCATCATCATCATTATCATTATGTTCATCATTATCAAACGACGATGAAATATTGGGATCTCTGGCAGGGTTCGTGGCGTAGCAAAATTCGACCTATCTACTCTAATTTTGAATTTAGCCACCAGATAGCGTATT